TACGCCAACTTCCGTGCACTATGAGCACGAAGGCATTGTAACCACAATTAGAGCTTCCATATCTGATTCCTGCATGCTGAACAAGACTTCACAATAAATGGGCCAAATGTTTAGTACCGACACCAAGTGTTTCTTGTGAGCTCCAAAGCACCATGGCAGAGTGTTGATTGAATGCTTCACAAAAAGGTTCAAAGCTCCCACTGCTCAAAATTGGTCTCTGAGAGGACGTCTACAACAAAATCTCGTGGCATATCAACACTGAAATATTGCAAGATGTTCAAGAATGGACCGAGTCCTGAAGAAAATTGCAAAACAAATCAAAGAGTTATCGTTTCTCTGCTATGGCTCGTGCTCGGGCTACGCAAGCTTCTGTGACATGGCTACCAGGCAAGAGCAACAAGGGATCGGTCCCAAGCTCTCGTCTGCAGGCAGATTGGAGCGTCTCCCACTGGCTTGCATCTCCGAGATACTTCTCGCTCAAGCTCCAGAGAGTGTCACCCTCCTCAACCCTGCCCCATCTCTCCTTCTGCGTCCACACAGCCTGTCTAGATTCCGATCCCACTGCTCTCATTCCCTCCTTCTCTGTTCCCGGTCCCATGTGACGGCTTTCTGCCATGTCAGTGTAGTACTATAGAAGAACCAATTTCGCAGCTAAAAGTGCATGTGCAAAAAAAAGTCCGGAAAAGAGGTTAAGAGACCAACGATTCAGGCACCTGTTACAATTGTGTACTGTCAAGAAACAAGAACTTCCTCTACGCTCATTAAAGAATGTAAAAGTAAAATCACTCTGAGTTGAAAGAAACGAGGACTTTCACGGTGACTCTAACGAAGAATGAAAATAGTAGTGCCAATCTGGGTTCAAGAAATGGCCGGGTTCCGTACTTGATTCACCGATTATGATGAAAAGATTTAAGAAAACTCTAAACCTCAATAATCTTAGCGATCGTGGACAAACGCTCCCGCTCCCTTGACGTGAAGAGAAGTGCAACATCAAAATCGAGGAATTAAAATATCACCTGCAGTTTCTTTTACAACCCCTTTCGCATCTCCTGTTGCATTTCGCACTGCCCTGACAGACGAGCCAACCACTGATGGAGCATCCGAATCCTTGCTCCCTTGTTGCCCCATGGCTCCCGCCCCTCTGCGTCTCTGGGCCGATTTGCTTCTCGTCTCTTACCTGTCCCTAAACCAACGCCCTACTCCCTCTTTTCGCAATCAAGAACATGCCAACAGATAACAACCGATACCACAAGACCACGTCAGAAACACCTTCGCACCAGTTCCATAACCTGCAAGAATCTCAAGAAACACGGAAACAAAGACTAGATTGAATGCAACGAGGAGGCGGACACAAGAAAAACGAGATTTGACACCAACTTCGCAGAAAGCTCTATGTCTGAAAAACAGTTGAAGAAGTCTGCGAAGAATAGCACCAGATTGAAGAGGATCTCCAGGGCAGGGAAAATGTCTCGCGAGGACGCTGATCGATCCACCAAAAAGACGAGACGGAGACGAACTGAGACGATGCGGCACTCAAATCAGCGATGAAGATGGCTTTCGCAGTGACAAAAATGGGGCGCGCTGGGTAAAAATGACGTTGCGACTGAGGGCGCGAAGGCGATGCGATTGTGAGGAAACAGAGATCACCCAACACCCAGAAACGGGGTTCGGACCCAAATTCCCCGCAAATCACACGCCAATCGAGCGACGACGACTCTGTTTTTGCTGTCCCTCCAGCCCTAATTCTCTGAAACACGGCAATTTGTGAAATTAGGGTTTCTCTACTTCACCTTTTAACAAATAAAAAAAAATTAGTTGTTTTTGGTGGGTTATGTTACTGTTGTTCTGGTGGCCGAATAGGATTGTTTGTGCACAAATTTGATGTTGTTAGGACAAATTTGATTTGTTGTGTTTGTTTTCATGGATTGATGTTGTATTTGGTTTATGTGATTATCTGATAATACCAAAATTTGAAACATCGGAACATTGGCTTAATTTCATTTCTTTCAAAATCCTGATATGAGATTTTGTGGAATTTGTTAAGTGAAAATGGATTGAATTTTATTTCTTTCTAAATTAAGATATTTTACACTTTAATTTTGAATTGTTGTTTATTGTTAATTTGTGTAAAAAATGTAACTTGAATTAAAAAAATCTTGTATGGGATTATCTTCTTTATTGAAATAAAAAAAAGTATATGTCTATATGCAAGAAAACTTCATGCCACAAACTAGTTTTATATTATGCAATGATGAAGTGCTTTGTCACAATGTGTACATTTTGTTTTATTTCTTTTTATTTTTTCTCCCAAAAAAGAGATTAAGTAGATTCAATAATAATCTACTACCAATGCAATAATTGATGCAATTCTCTTTAGAAGTTGCAAGCCCAATCCACAATGTTAAACCTTGATATCTTGTAGATATTAAGTAGAGAAGAATTTGAGCTTGTCATCCAAAATTCTCTCTTGCATTCATTAAGTAGAATTGCGGCAACATCCACACACTATGAAATTACAATAGTGACCTTTGATAAATCCTAACACCTTGTCCTATTGGAGATTGGCTAAAATTGGTACTTGTACCATTGTTCTACTAAACTCCTATTCTTATGCTATTGTAGCAACATGGTATGTTGAAATATTGATCAAAATGTAAAAAAAAAATCTTTGGAAATAAATGGGTTTTAAGATATGTGTTGAGTTTAAGCACTTTATTTTATGATGATCAAGGAATGACAAAATAATTGTAGGTGAGTATTTATATTGAGGACAATGACCAACAAAGTAGCAACAAAACTTTCAAATGAGAAAAAAAAAAAAAACAAAACAAAACAAAACAAAACAAAACAAAAAACAAAAAACAAAAAAATAGAATATCTGATAATTTTTGGATTTTTTTGAAACAAAATATTTTATTTGTAAGGCTGCAACCTCGTGTTAATCACAATAAACCAGATGTATCAATATTTTTTTCATTAACTGAGCATTTTTTTCATTGGCATAGATCAATTTTGCTGAAATCCAAATTTTGATCATATCAATCTTATTTTTTACAAAATTTGGAATCATATGTTTCAGACATGATACAATTTAAGATTCTACTAAAGACAGGCATGTATGTATATATGTATATTTTTTATATTCAACTTTTAATTTTCTCTTTTTGTGTTGAAGATCAAATAGGGTATATATCCTGCTAAAATAATCATTTTCCAAATATTGAGTATGTTTAATCCCAAATATTGAGTATAATTTTCTAAATAGTGAGTACATTTTTGTTAATATTGGATCAAGTATTTGGTAGCGGTTAAAAATGTGATAGTGTTCTCATCTTAATTTGGAGTCACACAATACATCCAACTGTTGAATGTGGTATATGCCATGATGTAGTTATGGTAGATTTATTAAATTTATAACTTAATTTTTATTTATTGAAGCGGCTCTTTTATTTAAAGGACAATCCAAAGAATCAACAAGACACTTCTTTTCTTTTCTGTTTATTTTTTGTTTTTTGTTAGTAGACTATGTCAGAATGAGAAAAATTCAAACCACAACATGAATAGAATGGTCATATGAGTATATATATATATATATATATAAATATATCTGTTTGTGTGTTTTTTTTTACCTTGAATTAAACAATTTAGTTGTTTGTTCAAAGTTGCAGTATTTTGATTGATGGTTCAAAGATGTATTTAATGAGACTGTAAAATTAAATTGTTATTGCTTTTAAGCAATTTCACCAACTACTTCAAAATACTCAAATACTCTAGTATTATATTCTATGGAAGTTCAACACACCTTAAACCTTTCACTAGTTCATATGTTTTTATTTGATGCCAAAATAGGTGCAGGTCATTTTTATTTTATTATTGGTTTCATTTTTACATGAAAACTATTAATAAACAAAATAAATAAGAAAACAAATATATATACATACATGTAGTATTAGACACCAATCTTATTCAATTCCAACAAATAATATAATATAATATAATATAAATATACAAGTATACACACAAAAAAAATTACACATCATCAACAACAACAACAATTAACAAGTGCGAAGCCAAAATGATGAACCGAAGAAAAGCGAAGAAAAGGTAGAAGAAAAAAGTGAAGAAGAAACACAAACACAGACATCCAAAATTTAAAAGTAAAGGTAAAGTAGAAGAAAAAGTGTGCGCTTATTTAAAGTATACGTTTGGAAGCAATTGATGGAAAGGACCAAGTTTTGGGAGGGCGAAGTTCCCGGCGTAATTTAAGCTACACTGCCGGGCTTTCTTTGGATTAGGGTTTAGGGTTTCATCCGACTCGCATTTGCGCTGAAGGCGTCGACCATTGCATTGTATTGGTTTGTGGTCATTCTGCAGACCCACCACGTTTTCACAATTCACAGGTTTTTTATGGACTTGGGTTTCCCCCTGTTCACCGGATCTCGAATTGGGCCTCTTTGGTTGCGGGCGAACGCAGCGAATTTCCTCATGATTTGGCTTCCGGGCTGGTTCCCCGGATGGGTAGGATCGATGCTATTAACTGGAACGTAATAGATTGGAATCCGTTTCTGCAAATTCGTTGTGTGTTGATCAAGTGCTCCCGGTTCGAAGCAGTCGGCGGATTTGCCGGACTGGAATTGGGTGATTGGTCTTCTTGCCACTAGTTGGGTGTCTATGCTGCCACCGACCACGACAACTATATGAATATACGGGCACATTTTAGTACAAATGTGTCTTGTGCTCAGATGTGACACAACCGTCTAACTTGTACGCATGCACGCTAGCATTAGATGGAGTGTGTGCAGTTGGCAGAGTAGACGATGTCATATTCGGATGCTGCTTGGCTGTCGCCACATGGGTTTCTGAACAGTTTCTAAGACTACACACAGACTACGACGTCGCACTGAACGCAATATAAGAAAGGCAAAGCTCAGACCGAATCTCGGGCATGTCAGACAATTAAACCTCCGAAGTGACGTAAGAATCATATTTTGGTGCGCAAATAATGGAACTTAAATTGTGATTACCAGATCAGAGACGTTGACGACCTAATTTACTATAGGGCTTCGCCCTAAAGATGAAGACTGGGCAGCCTGAGGGAATATGACAGTGTTTTATATCAGAACACGAAAGAAAGAGAGATTTACCCACACAGCTCTCTAGGTTCGGGTCCGAAGTTCAGGTTGCCCACCTGGCGCTGAATGATCGAAAGACACTCTCCGAACACAATGTACGAACCAACTTTTCACAAAAACCTGCCCCTGATTTATATGCTAACCTACATGCTTTCTCATGATACGTGGTCTGCTGAGGTGAATGATTCACACACCCACCTTACAAAACGTCTTCGACATTGAGACGGCATTTTACGTTTGCCAGTCTGCATATGTCTTTGGGCAGCCTGCTGTCAGGCTAAAAGGAGTGTTGTAATTTCCACTCCGGATAAGTTCTGTGGATTACTAATCCAAAGGATTCTGAGGCTGAAACTGCAGCAGAATAAGAATCCTGCAATCAGGGATGTGCAACTCGTTTCCCAGTATAGTACACGTTACGGGCATAAGGATTACGGGTACAAACTGGTAGAGTTACTATCGCAACTTCGAGGATTGAATTGCTGATGCACCACTTTCGTTCCTTTTCCAGTACAGTTACAGAGGTCGGTTGAGATTGATTGTCGATCCATCAACAGACTTTACATGCACTTCTTGGGTAGGAAGGTGATACTCGATGCCAAGCTCTTCAAAGCCTTTTTTCATTTCCAAGATTATCTCAGACCTTCGGGCCGTCTTCTCTCCAAAGTTTTGGAAGTTCATTGTGTGCGTAAGCCCCAAAACAAGTTCCAATCTTCCGTGCTCGGGTGAACAGTCCATACAATTAATAGTGAAAGTTTCTTTCCAGTGCTGAGGCTTGCTGGTGATATATCTGGAGAAAGGACAAAACAGAAACCTCATTAAAAAAACTCCACTCGATCAATTTCTGTAACGGCCAAAAGGATGGTGATGCTTTCTGCATTAAATCCAAGATTATATACTGGGATCATGACGATTAGAAAACAATAGAGGCAAGCTGGTTATACGCAGTCACAGATCTGAGCACGAGATTCAACGATTGCTGTATCTGGAATGAACTGAACAAATAGAGATTGAAACACACCTGCCGATAAACTCTCTGAGCCGTCCAATCTTCTCTGCGGGGGTGGCTGAAGAAATGAAGAACTTAAACATATCACCCATGTCTGGACTTCGGTAGTAGTTTGAAATAGGCTTGGTTGCAAGCACCGAATTAGGGTACCAGACCTTGGCATTGAAATCTCCCAAAAAGACCGTCGTCAGAATGTTCATCTCTTCAACCACGTACTGCAACAACATTGCAACGCTTGATAGTCAGCTACTGGCCATGGTTTATCAGACCGTAGAGACCTCCTACATTGATTGTAACTTTGGAAAGTCAACATAAAGAACACGATGGAATATCTTAAATTAGAATAATTAAATCGCACATTTAGTTCTTGTCAAGCATTGCGCAAGCAGATTTATAGAACTGAGTGTGTCAACTTACCATGACTCCATCGATGAGGCAGCGGTCTCCAACGTCGAATGGGTGATACACGAAAACGAAGACAATGGCTTCGAACACAGTCTTTAATGTGTTTCCAAAGATGAAAACCATAAGTACCAACTGAGACGAGACGAATAGCAGAAGTTGCGTGGTAGCGATGTCCAAGATAAGAAGCCAGATGACGAGCACTATTATGGACAGGACAACATCGATCATGCGATGGAGCTTGCTAACAGCACTCTTGGTGTCACTGAGTGATAGAGCAAGTGCGCGTCTCTCCTGGTACACATTCACCTGCGAGCACCACAGACGAGGTTTGAATTGAGCTATGGATGCCAATTCCACAGCAATGAGATGCCAATCTGTACAAAAAACGATGCGAAACGTTGATTATGCCTGGAAGTGAGAAATGGAAATTAAGAAAACTGCCGCTCAGATTGTATCTTATCAACGTCACATTGTTGGGGAATGTTTGGCAGATAGGACAAACATACCACCCAGCTCTTGAGAGCCTTCTTTGTAATTTTCCCCGTCTCCATGGCTTCGTCAAAAAGAGCTAGCGCACGTATGGCGTCCTCTTCTGGCATGAACCGCATCAGATCTCCCTCAGTAATACAGCTGCAGTCCACAACATCATTGTACAACGATGTCAGTGCGACCTAACGAAGAGCGAGGGCAAAGGACATTGCACTGCAGATGTTCCACTGCTAAATGATTTAGCTGATGGATTCCTTCATAACATGTTGAGGTCGACAAAGACACGATCGACACAAAGGGCGAGGCAGTAAATTAGGGCTAGCATAAAAAGCACAAAAGACGGCAGAAATTTCTTACGAAGCGCCAAGTTTTGCAACATTGTTGAAAACTTCCTTGGCAACAGCTTTAGCCTGCCACTCACTCCTGATCTCAGTGTCCATTTCTTCTTCAGCATTGCCATCAAGTCCTTGACCAAAAGTGGCGACGCCCTGAGACCTGACCAAATTAACAAGGCGCTTCATGTTGAAGGCTGACACATTCTGCCGATTGAGCTTGTGCAGGTGTTGCACAGTAATACCAGATCCTGCCTTGACCTCCCCTGAGACGGGAGTGGTCTTACTTCTACTCAGTTTTCTAGACTTTTGAGTCTCATTGTTCTCGCTAATTCCTGGCAACCCTTCCAAACCCTTGGCCGTTGCGCCAGCTTTTTTCAGCAGAGACACTTCCTCCAGCAACTTCTCGTCGTCCTCTTTCATCCTCTCGATCTCGACTACGGGCGGCCCAGAGAGAACCTCTAACACATGCTGGTTGAAAAGCGAGTCGCGAATCCGCTCGAAGTATGTTCCGACATGGAAGGACGACGCAAGCAACTTTACTAAGAACACTTTTACGAGGAACAGTACTGCCGCCAGAAGAATGCATTGTAAAACCTTGGTGACGTACATGAGTTTTCTGCTGACTTTCTGCGCTCTTGAGTCGAACATAAAATTCCATGCCATCAGCACCGACGCCAACCAAATGCAGTTCCTGACACCCCGCCGCAAAGCATACACGAAGTACAGCACCCGCTTCCGCATTAAGAAATTCATCTCGAAAACAAGAACTAACGCTCGGGTCACCCATCCGGAGACTAAACGACCGCAAACAATCACCAGCGCTAGAAGAAACCATTTCCAAAGCAAAAGCCCCCACAACTCTAAGTTTCTTGCTTGGGGTAGTATTCTGCTGCAAATCACAGCTCCGAGCAGCACGAAGAACGCTATCCACTCCAAACATACACTCCATGTCAGTTTCCTCCGAAACTTAGGGCGCTCTGGCATGTCCAAATCCTTGAAGGGGTCTTCTTCTTCCTCCTCCACGCGCCCGAGCTGAATCATCCCCGATTTCATCATCTGCGACTTTAGCTGACCAGACCATAGCTTCCCTGATCGTAGCTGCTGTGACCTCTGCGGGCCGGACTTCAGCTGGCCGGATCGCGCGCCTCCCGACTTCCGTGGACTACCGCTGTTCTGATCAAATGGCTTCCTTGGCTCAGCAAATCTCGACTTCGCTCTGTTGTAATGACTCGCAGGTATCGCAGAGGACTTGACAACCAACTCCTCGTCCCGAAATGAGTGGCGCTGACTACTGTGAGAGCTCGTCTTGCGCAGACGGAGACTCCCAATCTCGTCGCCACGGTCGAGCTTCTCCCCATAGTTCTTCGGGCCCTCAACGGCAAATGCAGGATTCTCCATGAACCCCGAGACCTGATCGCCCGAAGAGGGAAGGTGAGACAACAATGCCGGCAAGCGTAGGGAGGAGTTTGTCGAATCCGAGTCCACCTGCGAAACACCCCGCTTCATGGAACTCATAGCCGAGTTATCCTTGCTCAACTCGGACTCCGACTGCGAGTAAATGTGCGTCTCGGGGAGATGAGGCAAACTGCCCCGCTTCTGCGTCCAGGGTCCGGGACCTGTATTCTCAGGATCCACCTCTATCGCTAAATCCTTCGGCTGTTTCCGCCACAAGCTGCCGGAGGAGTCCATTGCCTTCCCATACCCCATGTCCAAACTCTTCGTCCGCCACCTCTTGTGTGGGGTAATCCCTGAGGGGGGCTCTTGGTTCAACAAACTGACCTTCTCCAGCTGGTCCTGGTCAGATCCCTCGTGCCAACCCACCCCAACGTCCTTTCCCTGCTGCGCCTCCGACCCCCTCCTCCCGGTCTCGTCGAACCGAATTCGCGACGGCAGTCGCTCTTCCATCTCACGCCCAATGCTTTTGGAATACTGCAAATGTCCGCCTGATGCAGCTCTCGCGCGTCTTTCTAAATCCGCGAGAGAGGACCCCGGCCTCTCATCGCGCAATTCGCCTACACCCCCGGCTACTTCCCGAGCCTCGACGATTTTCTCAAAAAATCTGTCAGGTTTTTTCATTCTGCTCCCTGTCTTACCACTTAGAAAGCCATCTGTCGCAATCTGGTTGCTAGGGTCCTTCAGCACGAGCTTGTTTCGTGTTTCAATCGCACTCATCTCATGTCTACCGCTAAAGACCGAATGCCAATGTCCTCGAAGGCTCACCTACCACGTCCGACGCTGCTCCGCTAACTTAGCAGATGCAAAGGTGAATTTACACCACGAAGATCTAGGGAATCGGTGAGACTTGCGACGTGATTTTACGATCCTCACACTAATTTCGGACTTAACTCTACTTTACCCACCACAAATGAGTAAACCGCTTCACATCATGTCTTAACTGCGTCCGCATTATCCTCCTTCCCTCGTTGTCGTTTTGTTCCGTTTGTCTTCTGATGTCAGCTGACCGCTCGGAAAGTGGCGCGCTTCTTCAGGAGCATCAACTTGCCACTAAGTCACCCGCGGTTCCATGAGTTGAGAGCCGTTCACAGCATGTGGAATTATCGACCACGTTTGCATTTGTGATATGACTTCGACGACTAGGAGAATTCAACGTGCATGGCAGGAGTGCAGCCAGAAGTGCTATTCTGTGTCATTGCTCGATGATTGTGCAGGCTCGTCAGCATTCGAGATGATGTTGTGACATATTCTGATGGTGGATTAAGTAATCGCAGTTTTGAGAGGGATCTTCTAAACAAATCCGCCGCGATTGTAGCCTGACGGAAAAAACAGGGAGTGCAATATGAAAATCCTCCAAGATCTACCATGCGTCGTTCAGAGACAACACTCAGCGATGAACCCTAGACCAACATCGATTCGAGCGAAAGGATTCGGAGGATAAAATCTTGTCCCGACCATTTCAAAGAAATCAAAAGCAGCAGACTAAAAAGAAAACCATAAAAAAAATTCAAAAATTCAAAATTCAAAACCAGACTTTATGGACTGAAAGCTGGTCGAAAAATGAGTGTTACAACCAGAGATTGTACGCAAGAATCGTGGCAGTTACAATCCTCGAAGAACAAACATATCTGCATTATCGACTTACGGAAGACACGCAGCTCATCCTGGCGACGTTATAGTGGGTACCAGCTTCTCCAACCCAGCCAGATTCTAGCTATGGCCACGTAAACCCTGCAACCCTAAGCGTTTCTGAAACCCACCGATATCAAATCGTTACCGTTATCCAAAAAACTCCGAGCAACCATCCCATTCCATCACCTCACACTACCAAACCTACTGCATCGACGGAACGCACAGCTTAGTGTGCGGCATAGCGGCGACCGGGAATCAAACCGTAAGATCCATCGAGAGAGTTGGAGCACCGGCCGACGACAGTTGCAGTCGCGGCAAGTCGAGGGGGGTCTTGGTGGTGATGGTGACCTGCCGAGCACGATGCACGATGCGTGGATCGTGCCGGCGTGATTGCAACTGTAACCGGAGCACGACGAAGGCATGGAGCTTGCGGTTGCGTTCAGAACTCCACCAGTCTCACGTCCGCGCTTCCGTCGTTCCTCCACAAAAGGGGGTTCAAGCACGGCGCATCGACAATCACAGCAGCAGCAGCTACCACAGCTCACGACGTCCACAAGTTCGAAACCATGTCGTTGGATCCGTTCGCGCTTAAGCTTGGCCCAACACTTCATGGAAATCGTTGGGTCCCCACATCGCACACTTAAAACTGCGACGATACAAATCCGCGTCTATAAGCGGCGAATTCGGGCTAGATTTTTCTAGTGTGCGTCTCACGGATGGCTCAGGAATCTCAACCTCGCTCACTGTCTCTCTGTCTCTCTCGCTCTCGATCTGCGATGCGTCGTCAATCGATCTTGGTGACGAGCACCGCATCGATGTGCTCTTAGTCTTCGGATCGATCGTCGACTAATAACCACGTTTTTGTAGAGCTGCCGTTGCTGCCGTTACTGTTGTTGTTTGTTTGTTTTTGTTTTGTTTTTTCTTATTATATAGACCTTGCATTGGATTGGAAATCGCGTCAGTTTCTATTTCAACAACAAGCCTGCAAAACAGCTGCTTGAGATGGAATATTTGATTTCCTTCACAGTGTGTGTGGAACAGCAAAATGTGTATATTTAAACTTGTGTAATGCCTTCAGAATTGGTGTTGAAATGAGATGGGGGGGGGGTCACTTGTTGTGACTTGATGAATTATTCCAAACTTCGATAACAAAAAACATAATAACATTACAACATGTACGCAAAACAGAAACTTGGCCATGAAGTAGATTCTCGATTAGGTGTTAATTGGATGTGATATACGCATGAATTTTTTTTCATACGGTTGGAGGTATTTGATTGAGTTTAGATGAAAATTTTACATGTGCATTTTTATTCTAGCTTTGGTCTGTATTACTGAGGGTTTTTCATCAACAAAGTTTTTGAGTACATTTCTGTGTCCGTAGTGTTATATTTTCAGTTATTTGTGAACTTTTTGAGAATGTTTTGTACAGATTTGTTAAAATTCAATCCATTTACTTATTAGCTATCAGAGAATTGTTGCCTAATATTGCTGCCTAATATTTTTTTGTTTAAAGAGTAGGCAATTCCACACAACATTGTAGAGTGTACATGAACAGTTAATCACGTTTTGTAGGAACTCTTTCACACGTGCTTTGTTAAAATCATGCATGTTCATCTGTATTACCCAAATTATCCTCAAAAGATATAAAGCATACCGTGTTTTTCATTGTCAATTTCATGCCAATTTATTTTCAATTATTAAATTAACATGATGGCATATTTTTGTAGTCAATATGCCAAAAACATTTTCACCATTATTATATTTGACCATTTGTAAATATCAACGCACAGTATTCATTTTCAAATTTGAATTCACGTTAAAAATTACTGACGAAGAGATTTTGTTCAACACACTCAAAATTTGAATTGAAAAAATTAAATTGAAAAAGGCAAGTGAAACTGTGTGTCTGTATATATATATATATATATATATATATATATAGTAAACTAAAAATAAACTTTTAGGCAACATAAATACATAGATTTTGTTTTGTTTTGTTTTGTTTTGTTTTTTGTTTTTTATTTTATTTTTCTCTTCCTTTATTGGCATTGGAAGCCTCTGCTATGGAAGTTATACATAAACAAAGTTTTTGATACATATATCAAAGAGTTGTCTACATTCAATAAAATCAAATCTTCTAATGCAATTAATCCACAATCACTTTATCCCTATCTTAAATTGCAAAAGTTTTTACTTTTTAAAAAGTTAAAAATAAAACAAAAATAAAAACCTTAAAATATTTCCTTCTTATTGTTTGATCTTATAAGTTTGATGTGTTATCTTACCCTTTATGTTTATCTATAATATTTTTATAATTTTTTATAGTGGGTATGAATGTCCTCATAAGTTTTACTACATCTCAAATTTCTTTAAAGCATCAAAAATAATAAAAATAATTTACATACATAATCAACTTTCAAATTAAAAATTAAATTCAGATAAAATTTTTATATTACAAAAATTAAATATTTGGAAAAATGGAAAAAGTTCATGTGTAATCTGATTGTAAACTTATTAGTAAAATCATAATAACATCATAAAATCATTGTATCAGAACAACATCACTACATAGTCAATATTTTGAAGAACTCATTACAGCTACAATTTTCTACGCAGACTTGAGGCTTGCTTATCAAAAGCTAACATCAAAAAGCACCATTCAGTAATAGAAAATTTAAAAAACATTGTGCATAATCTAAACTTGTGGATCTTATTAATAAGGCTTGGATTTACTTTGATAAAGAAAAGAACTTATAGCAATTAGTTTACGTTTTATAAAATGAATTTTGATTATATTCTTTGATGAAGCCATAACACTATTTAAACTATTTCATTACAATAAAAACTAATACTATATTCTAATACAATTAATATATGTATGTTTGTTCTAAATATTAATATTTTGAAATATATTATTATTTCATTGATATAATAAACTTAATGATATTGATATTTTATAAATTATATATATATATATATATATATATATAATTTTTTTATCATAATAATATTGTGTTGATAAAATAATAATTTTTTTAATATTATTTTATAATTTTATTAAATTATATCAAAAATAACATTACATACTTGTTTTACTTACAATTGTTATCAAGTGGAATGATGTTGCATTGTCACGGACATACATATAATTACCTATATGAATAGATAAAAGTATGTAAAAGTAAGTTAATTGTGTAATATCTTCTAGAGAAGCTTCTTAGAAGCTTCATAGACGCTGCTTTGACTTTATAGGAGTCTATAGTTGACTTTTAGGTTAGAAACTTGGTCAACAAGTTAGCCATGTGCCACGCATGTTGGAAGCTTAAAGAACAAGCTAACTACGTGGTCCATCCATAGAAAACTTGCCTTGCAAGCAAAGGCATGTGGCCTAGAAAGTCAACATATATTGGAGGTCTTATAGAACATCGCCACGTGGCTTCTAGTTAGATAGTATATATAGAGGCAAGAGTGAAGCCCTCTTCACTCTTGTCAACTCCTTTCTTGCTTCTAGTCTAGTTTCAAGGGTCTCTAGTTTTCTTGTATTTTGGCAATAGCCATTCCAGTTTCTTTCTTAATATACATATTTCTATTTTGTCCTATTTCTTTTTGAGAAAAGTCTCACTTACTCTTTAGCTTTCATCGAGTTCTTGTCCCTGACAGATTGACAAGAGTACACTTACAATATCAGAGCTTTGTCTTTTCTTGATTAAGAGTGGATTACCCCTTTTTCTTGATAAGACATAAGCGCATTAGAAGTTGCGGATTACCCTCTTTTAAACTGATATTGTTCTTAGTATTTTCTTTGTTATCAATTCCTCTCTTCTATTTGTTTTGAGCGTTGTTAGACATCTTCTCTTTTCTAAGTGCTACTATGGCAGAGCTTGTTGAAATGAAGAGTGCAATGGCACAGATGCAAGAACAATTGAGGGAGTTAATGCTTGCGATGCATCAACTCAATTTACCACCACAAGGAGCAACAAGAATGGTAGGAAGTGAAGATATAGAGATGATTGGGGCTGCTTCAACATCTGCACCAAACGATGTCCCTTCTCCTAGAATGGAACACCCTTCGAGTGTTAGAGAACCGAGAGTTACCTTGCCCGAGAAGTTTGATGGTACTAGATCCAAGTTTCGAGGATTCATCAATCAGGTCCAACTAGTGATTGAACTTCAACCCCAGAGCTATCCAACTCCAGGGTCACAAGTAAGATTTATTGGTACACTTCTTTCAGGTTCAGCATTGTCATGGTTTTCATCTTTTCTTGAACGACGAGATCCAATATTGGATAATCTGGAGGCTTTTTTGGCGGAGTTTCGATCCATGTTTGGAGAACATGATGCAATTCGTGTTGCAACCAACAAGATCCGTATTTTGCGACAAGGCAATCGATCAGTAACATTATATGCTTCGCAATTTCGACAACTTGCAACTGATATCAAGTGGGATGATGCCGCACTTGTGAGTCAATTTCTCTACGGATTACAATATGAGGTAAAGAAATTGATGCTTAATTTACATGATCCTCAAACATTGAGTCAAGCAATTGACTTTGCTGTGAAGTGCGACAATCGACTTTTTGAATTTCGATCCGAGAGTCGCACAAGTGGGCCTCAACGTTACTACAATTCAATGGCAACACCGACGTCTCCTCAACACATACCTTCGGAAGTAGAGGATATGCAAATTGATGCGGTACGTTTCAAACCTCTTACTGAGCAAGAAAAGT